CCTCTTCGTGCAGGAACCCAGTAGTAAGAGGAAAAAGCAAATTTGACCAGGTTTATCCAAAGCAAGGAGTCTTGATGCCAGCAACTCGTTGCTGCAGGCTACTTTTTAGCACGTGATTCGGCAGAAGCTGGGGTGCGTGCTGCGTCAGATTGGCTGCTGTTGTCACACACTTCTCATCTTCTGTTGCTGGAAGAACGCCTACTCGTCTCATGTGACTCAATTCTTCACATGCATCATGGGACTGAAAACGAATGACACACTCGACCCAAACAAGAAAGTAAGAGCAAAACCGGGGGGCCCAAGCGCTGCATGCGCGCAACAGTTCAACTGATTCTGGCTGAGTTCTCACGATACACGCGACTCGCCGCGGAAAGGTGATTCAGAATCAGGTGGTGTTTATGGGAGAAACTCGTGGCTTGGTCAAACAACCAACAACGCCGGGCACGCTTAAGCGTTCAATTGCGGGCTCAGACGACTCCGCTGCTTGAAGCCACCTAGGTTTTTTGTTGGTCCTGTCAGCTTTTGGCTCAGCTTGGCGGTTTTCAGCATTCCTGGATCGACCTGGCCAGTGGACGTTGTCATTTTGCGCAAGCAGCAGTTTCGTCGGTGCCGAGCACAAGGAGGCAGTCATTCGCTCGGCCATAGCGTGTCGTCCGTTTCAGCCAGCGACCTCCTCGCCGATGGTCTCGGAAGATCCGAAGAGATTTCGGGTGGACCATGCCCGGATAGAGCCGCAGGCACGGTCGTGTTACCCTTGGGCCTATGGCACCCGCCTGTGGACGTAAGCCCTCTCGCTGGTCGATTCTTACCCTGGAAGTCGGCAACCCTGTTTTGCCCACCTGCAAGAGGACACCCTTTAAAAGGGGAAAGCAGGGTTTCCCCAGTAACGACCCAGTTTAACCAAGTCTTTGGAAGGTTTGGGTACTCTGAAGCTGGCTTCTTCTCCGCTCTACACATGGCAGCTTGCCTCTGAGCACGACAGCTTTCAGGACGCGCCAGAACTAGGTCCTAGTTCTGGCGAATCCTGAAAGCTGTCGTGCTCAAAGGCAGTAACTAGCAACTAGGACCGAAAGCAGGCGAAGGTCGGCGCGAAAGCTATTGGATGGATGGATGGATGGATGGATGGACGGACGGACGGAGGGATGGATGGACAGAGAAAAACCAACTGGGAAGTCACAAGCCTTTTTCAAAACGGGAGTGGATGCATGTGGGAAAGTCCTTGGACGGACACGTTCTTGTCTTCTTGTTTCCAGCACATTTTTGGGGCAACGTAGTCTAGAAACCAACTGGGTGCCTTTTTTTGAGGGGAACCCCATTCTGGTTTGTTTTAAAAGAAAACCAAAAGACGAAACTCGGTTTTGCAACCTCAGAGGGAAAAACAAAAGGACACCGACCACTTTGGAATCCCCTAAAAAACGGCAAACCCAAATTTGCAAGGCCACTCCTTCCAATTTGGGCCGGGTGGGAAAGTTGTCGTCGACTCGCCTTCACCGGCGTTTGGCCCATGAAGTTCTGAAGCTGCGGGTCCGCCCCCAGCTGCACCAGCGTCACCTCGGTTTCCGAGGCTTTGCCAAAGTCGCCCTCCCTAGTTGGAGACGGTTTTACCCCGTTTTTTTCAATTTGCTTAAGCCAAACAGCTGGTTCTTGAAATGAACGATGGTTGAAAAGAATGGGGAATCAACCCGAGAACTATTCAAATGTGTCGGTCAGCACATCCCACTGCAGCCCGCAAGGCTTTGAGCGCCCCGCGTAGGCATCGTAGTGCAGCTCATAGGCCTCTGTCTGAGGCTCACTTCGCGGACTGGCCCAAGGTCCGAACTGTTTGGTTTACCACTAACATGGCTTTCAGAAAACCAAAAAAAACATGGACCTCGGGACGTGAGGGGCAAGACTGAAACTCTGCCTCTTCTTTGTTTCAAGAGGCCGTCCTTTTGCAGGGCTTCAAGCACCGCGCGCAAGTGCTTCAGAAATACCCAAGTCCCCTTGAAGCTTCCCGATCCAGTCGTACAAAAAGATGAGAAACACAAGGCTGAATATAGGGCTCCCTATACTTCCCTTTTTGGTGGCTTCACCAAAACCAACTCGACTTGTACTCGCGAATATCCTCCTCAGGGCATGGCGTTGCCAAATGGCTGTTGCTCTAAATTAAAGAGCTGGGGTTATGCGGGTTTTAGTTGTTGGTTCCATTTACCAAGGTGCCATTTTGGTACTTTTATCCAACCCTGGCAAAGGAAGCCGACTTGCACAACTCCCGCGACACCTCCCGGCTGGCGCTCAGAGCAGAAGAGCGCAGCCGTATGAACACACTGGCAACCTGCATCAGCTTCTCCAAGATGTCAACTAGTTGGTTGCGGTTCGCTGTGAACGTGTCTCGCTGGATCGCCCCGGGAACGCTGGAGCGCACGAGCGCCCGGAAGTCTACACAACACAGCGCGCAATTGATGGGAGTGGTCTCCTTACAAGCACACCACACGATTATGGAGCTATGGGGCCTTTCCGCCCTTCCGCAAATCCATGGGCTTATTGCGCTTTGCAAGCAAAAGGCTACCCAACGTGAAGTCAGTAAAAACCGAACTCAAATCATGTGGTTAATTCGGATTGAATGGGCATCCTGCTTAACATTTTGCCTGGATTCATCTTTTGGCAAAGATTCCAAACAGCTCCAACCTGCAGAAGGGGACAAGAGTGAACTGACAAGAGCATGCCATTCAGCTGCTTCAACTTTCTTTGTCAACTGCCGTGTTGAACCAATTTGCTGACAAAGCCCCAGCGCTTCGGCTGCTCAGCCTGAACATAGCAATACGGATCGGCATGGCACGGCAAGTCTGGTTGCAATGAACGCTGCCGCTGCGTTGCTCGCCATGGGCATGGTCTTCCATATAGCCCTTTGTTAGCTTTCGTTCCTTTCTTGGCAGGGCTCTTGTCCTGGGTGTTTCTCAGGAGAAAGCGATGCACTGGCATTGCGGCACAGCATGCGTCCAGGCAATGCGTCCAGGGGCAGGTCGTGCATGTGGCACACCAATCCAGCCATGGGAGTCGAACCCCTAGCCGCGTCCCCGAAAGTGCGCCAAGTGCACCAATGAGATGCTCGTGGGCAAAGGGCACGGTCACGCCCAGTTCGTGTGCCACCAATCTTTGCCATCCACTTTCGGAAATAGGAACACTCCTCTCAATGGCTAGGCGTGCATCATCATCCAAAAAGCGGCGATTTGCTTTTTGTCTTTGGGTGTTCTTGTTGGTCGTCATACGTACTTCACTTCTTTCCCCTTCCGCTTCCACGTTTCTCAGGCTGCTTCTTTGGGCATGTCTCTGACCCCCCCCACACCGAGCCTGCAGAAACCGCTCCTTGCGGCCGCCGGGCAGGGACCCGCACCCGGGGAGGTAGAGCAGCTGGCCCTGCGTGCAGAAACTGGTCAGAGCAAGTCGAGGGCTCGCAGTTCCGTGTGGGTTCCCAAAATGGTGTTTTGCCCGCGGTGTGGTAACTTTTCCAAGATGATCTGGTGGGTTTCCAGTGGTTTTGGTTTCCAAGAAAGTGTTTGGCTCCGCGTGGTTGGTCCAACCAAAAAGAGAGTTCCCCAGGCAAGAGGGGTTCCACTACCCCGAAAAACAGCTAGAATCAAGCTAGGCTTTCATATCCAAACTTAGACTTTGCCCTAGAGGCCATCGTTGAATTAGCCGTAAATCTGAGCGCTCCAGGTTGGAACTTCCACTAGCCTGAAAACATTCACAAACCCATGGAACTAGGTCGCTTCAGTACGGCTAGGCGATGCTTCACTGATCAATGTGCAAAATAATCGGTCAGAGCAGCTGGCAGCTAGAGTGGCAGCTGAAGCTTCGGTTCACGTGAAAAGTGCCCCATGCCCTCACGAGCCCAAGAAGCTCCAACGTCCAAAGGATTGCCAGCTCAAGCAACGAGAGTGCCACACGTGGCCTGCAGATTCCTATCCGGCGAAAGTGGCTTGAAAGACGTGTATCACATGAACCCAATCCCTCCCCTACCCCCCAACTGGCCAAATATGTAGGCACTTTGCTTTGAAGAGCTTTGAGCCATCCCTTTTCTGCATCGGCTCCTTCGCTGCCATCGAAGCCCAGCGACTGCCCATGGCACTCGAAAAAAGCTGTTTCCGCTTTGGCGGATGAAAACGCGGCCAGCCGAACCCCCCTAGATTTCCTGAAATCTACCCCCTACTGTGGATGGACGGAATCCTGCAGAACTTTGAAACCATGGGAAGCCATACCGTTTGTTGGCATTTACAGGAGAATCATCATTCCAGGGTTTCTTAGGTCGTGCAGGATTCCGTCCGTCCACAGTATCACAAGAAACTCAACACATCAAGGGGTGACCTTCGAATCACAGGAGGGCAATGGGACACTCTAACCTCAGCCAGCGAATGTCTGAAGGAGTCTGCTTGAACCATGCGCGCGCCGCAGAAACCCTCCATAGAGCCTTACAACGCTCTGAGATGTGGACCGCAAAGTATTTTGCGAGCTCAAGGAACATGTTGCCGCGTGAATTATGTTGATCTCCCGCTGCTTGCAGCGTGAGTGGCTGGACAAAAGTCAATCTACTAGGCAATGTTGGTTCATTGCAACAAACAACTTCCCGCAATTCGACTGCAATTGCGTCCGGCTGCAATTACACCATCTCCCAACAAGTCCAGTTGCAACTGAGTCAAGAGCCGCCTTTCCAGAGTCATGTGCCATGTGGAAGTTGTGGTGCAATGTCTTGTCGCTTCCATGAAAGCGACGCGAAACAGGTCGAGAGCCATGCCCGGAGTTTACTGGCCCCAGTAAACACCTCTCCTGCTCTCCCAGGCATGCACTTTTTGGGTCAAGAAACGCAAAACAAAACGGACTACCATTGAAGTCACCCAGGTCAAAGGGAAGCACCAGATTCTTTGACCAAGCACAAAGCTTTTCGTTCATCCCGGCTTGCCTCGTCCCCTCCCCGAGTACGAAGCAAGGGCCATTGGTTCGCTTCCCCGGGCGGCCGCGCTATAGCGTTGCGGTTCTCCTCAATGCCGTCGCGCCACTCGTCGGGGGGACCGCCTGGTCGCTCATGCGGCTGTGAACGCTTCGGACATCTCCGAAGCGAAGGGGATGCTCCCAGTAAGTCCAACCATTCCCACAACACAAACATAGTCATGGGAGCCATGCTCAAAACTCCTTATATGGCTGGTTCCCTTCCGAGGAGCTAAGGTCTGCTCCCTGAAAAGTGGATGCCCGCGGATTCTCCGGGGGGGTGGGGGGGGGGGCTCCCCAAAATGCTCAGAATTCCCAACTAGCGCAGCCAAAATTAACCAGTAATCCGGGATCAACATTGAGATCTGAGTCTGGAACTACAGGGATGTACCCAACCACGTATTTAACGAATCAGAAGGGCATCCGCACTTGTTCGTGGTTGGGACTGTCCCTTATCAACCTTGACTTACTCGGGTTTTGATTGTCTGAGATTGATGGAAGCATCCGCAAAGAAACAGATCATGGGTGACGAGACGGTCTTGCCATTATATTCTTGCCGTCTCCTGCATCTGGAGGAGAGAGAAGATATGCGATCCAAATGCATCAAAGGAGGCCAAAAGGAAAAAAAATGTTGAAAATCCCATCCCATATTTCCATACCTGGCATTTCCCTTCTCCCATCCCAAACTAAGCCCAGCAGCTCTCCCGGCCTTCTGTACCCTCGATACCCTCGAAGGGCACCGTGCCCCAATCTGGCACCGGCCTCGTTCCCAGCTCCGTGAGGACCCTATGAGGTCACAAGGCTAGAGCTTGGGTCCCAGGAAAAGGGACGCAAAAGGACCCAAATGTTCCACTATTGTGGTTTGGTCATTGCTCGGATGTAAGTGGATGCCGCTTCATTCGCAAAGAGCCGTTCAATGGAGAAGGCCAGCTGACTTGTGCAAAATGTGTGTTTGCCCAAGAATCACTGAAACCCTTGAACAGTTGATGTATTTCAAAGGGGAGCGTTGGCGCATGGAACGCTGGATATGTTTTTTAGTACCCTTCCCGAGTTGAGCGTTGCGCTCAGCCTCTGCGACTCGTGTGGATAATGTTGCGAGTCCCTGCCTCCCAATTGACCCCCTTTTGGAGATATTTGAGCCACAATCGAAACTCAGTTAATGTTCTGCATTGTTTTGGCTGGTCATATTGAAACAAAGTTTTGATTGCGACTCGTGACTCATCTGACCTCATTTCAGCTCCCACTGATTGAATCGTGTGGGTTGGTGGTTTGGGGGTTACGGAGTTCCCATTTACCCTCTGAAAGAACGGGTTCACGTCCAAATCCAAACCACGAGTGGAGGCTCGAAACCACCAACCTGACGGGTTATCTGATTGCTTTTTTTTTTTCAGAGGTTCCAGTGCCTTCGCGGACCTTTTGGGAGTTCCCCCAAAAGAAGCTAACACGCATCCATCCCAGGAAAAAGCGCTGCTCATCTCCTTTGCTCCGACATCCAACCGAGCTTCGTGCATCGGCACGAAAGGCACCAGCGCCCGGTCGCGGCTGGCGGAGTCCTCCGGTCAGTCAAATGAACGGAACCCAAAAAAGAAGAGGCAAACACCTGAAAACTTGCCAACAAGTGAAGCTCGGGAAAATTGGATTGGCAAGTTGGCAGTCCATTGGAAATTGTGAAAGGATCAAATCATTGGTTGAGAATTGCGAGCGGGTGGAATTGCCTGCAACCAGAACCTGCAACCACGCTTCACTTGGACAATGATCCCCTATAGCGGGATCGCACTCAAGGCTTTGCATTCAGAAATGCAGCCTGTTGAAGCCCCTTGTCGTTTGCCCCTAGAGGGTGATAGGCTCAATTGGAACTCTCCCCATCTGGCAAGTCGTCAAGTACCGCGGATCAACACCAAGCCAATGCCACTTCTTCAAGGAGCACATGGTGCGCCGCGCCTTGAAAATGTAGTCCGCGATGGCGCGTTTGCAGGCTCGTACATACCTATCGCGAGTGCAGCCAGGATCCGGATGCGGTGAGCGCCGGTCCAGCTATCGGCTTAACCGGCTGAGGGCCGGGCCCAGCTTTCATCTCGCCAGTGACTTGCTCCACAATCTCCGCAACCACCTGCGTCTTTGCGTCTGCGACTGTCCGGACTTGGGGCCCAGACATGGTCGCAATGCATATCAGGCTTGGCGTTCTCTCATGGTCATCTGCAACAAGAAAGCCAGGGAACAGCCGCGGCTCACAGTTCTAACTTATTCAAAGTGGCGAATTCTCAGAACATCTGGTAGCCTACCCGCTGGAAACCCAAAGCTACAGCGCAACATAGTCAAACACCGCAAACAAGAACAAAGCATCGGCCGGAAGCCGGCCACAGTACCATACTGGCCCAAAAAAGGTCTGCATCACCATCCATCTGTATGATTCTATCATGTTACTCAATAACGCGCCATGTCTATAAACCATAGGCGTCTCTAGGTATGTGTGTGGACAGGTTCGGGGTACCAAGGAGCCATTGGGAAGTGTCCGGTTCCTCTGAGTGGCAAGCCAGTGGCATGCGCCTGAGGATTGAGAGCCGAATGGTTCTGTTTCTGGGAAGCCCAGATCTCTCACCGGATTCCCCCGTTTCAAGTGTGGATCTTCTCTTCTGTAGTGTACCCCTCCTTTCTGTCATAGGATGCCCGCTCCCCTGTCCTAAATCGCGATGGGAGGGGCAGGTTAGGGCAGGGCTGCGATCCCATGACACACCGGGATCCCGTCACGGGTTGATACATCCATATCCAAACCTCCCACCCCCAACTTCCTTTCTGCTCGCTCGCCTCTGGTGGCAGGTCCTTGAAGAGCCGATCCGCTTCCACAAGGAAGGCTGCGCGAAAGCCGCGTCGTGTGGCCCAGCGAGGGAGCCAATGCTTCTACTTTTGAGCATCACTTGGCTCTTGGGATTGGAACACATCAGAAGCACACCAGCTGTAGCTGCAGCTGGAAAGCCCCACAAACGCAATTGTTGTAGCACTGCTTGGTGGTTGGAGACTTCCCATCTGATCTGTCGCGAAGTGGGACATGAGAAATTCCCGTTGGGAAGTGACGGGTCCAATCTCATGTGTCGGTTGAAGGAATGACTTGCAACAACTGAAACCGCATCGTATTGGATACGGTGTCCGAGAATTGAAAACGACTCCAATGTTGCCCGGGCATACGGGCCCGTTGGAGAACTTCCCCAAAGCACAGGCCCCAGAGTTGCTTAAACCCACCTAAAGGTTCCCATTCAAACATTTGCCCACCCCCATTGACACAACCTGACACGGCGTTTCCTGCCGTCTCTAATGACCTGCTCCCAACCTTAGTGTTTAGCAACACAAATAACACCAGTGAGTAGAACCAAACTGAACCTGGATCGATTTTTCCCAAGACCCAAAAAGGAACACATCCCAAGGCTCGCGCCCACGTTCTCCAGCCACTCATTGTTGACGGGGGCGACCGCGCCATCGCCGATTCCCGCGTTCTTGGCGTGCCAGCGGAATGCGATCGAAGGGCTTGGACCCGGATGTGGGGAACCCCAAACTCATGGTGCTCCTCCTGGTTTCCGTGTGAAACCACCAACAGTACCCTCAAAACAGACACCCCCCATGTGCCTTTTTGGAGGGGTACAACAAGTTGTGCATATTGTGAGACAAACACGGTAAACTCTGGGATTCCCAGATCGTACATCCCACGCCTCCGTCCCGCCAACAGAAAGCGTTGAGACCTGAGGCTCCTGGCCACGTAGTAGTTGTACCGCAGCAGGCCCCCATAGAACATCCGCCTGCCGAGGGCGCCTGGGGCGCCTGAAGCCACCCGTGATGCTCCCATCCCTTACCCCCTTTCGAAAGAACCCATGGGCTATAGACGGCCTGGCCTTCCAAGCTCAAAACTCACCTTTCGGAGATTCCTCCCTTTCAAATGATGGTTCTTTGGGTTCCTTTTATAATCTGCAGGAGAGATATGATCAATTCGATTCTCCAGGTCCGGTTGGATTGAAGCGCTTCGGCCACACAGTTGGCCACGCCTGGAGACGCCAGCTTCGTTCAGCTCGATCTCCAGGGATGAGCCTGCAGACCAAACCCTCAGCACAAAGAAAAGAGTGCGTGCTAAGAAGCCCTCAAACAGCTGGACATTGCGAGGTGCTGATGTGTGGAAATCAAGCCTTTTGTTTGAGGGTATGTACTATTTGTCAGCTGGAGAACCAGGCATTTTAGTTTTCCCCCCCCCCCCCCCCCCGCAGTTTGAGACAACTCCACATCTGTTTGTGTTGCCCTTTGTCTCCCCTGGAGTGCGTTGAGCTTCCGCGTAAGCGCTGAAACCGCGCCTGGCAGGATCTGCGAATTCTCGAACTCTCGCTCCAGGATGTCCATGGGCGCGAACTCCGGCTGCTGGCCTCGGCAACTCCATCGGATTCACAGGGCCAACTTAGCGACAGCCCTAAAGCTGGTCAGATTGGCCTCTTTGGCGCTTGAGTCTGGCGGCCAGGAGATCTTTGACCGGGCTTCAACCAAAAAATACCAAAGCTGGCTCCGAAGTGGCGGCGAGCAATTTCGGTTTGTCCCCCCATTTCCTATGGTACCCACAATGTTCATTTACTAAACTGTTCAACCTTTGGTATGGTCGCAAGAAAACTTTGATTTTTACATCCCTCTACCAAAACTGAACAGAACCAACGACAGTGTTCTGTAAACACACACATCCTGCCCCAAGCTTTGCCGGCAGCGGTTTTCCGTGGGACAAAACCCGGTCGGTTTGCGAGCGAACACCGAGCCGCCTTTGCCGTCCTTCTTCGGGGTCCGCTTCGGCCGCCACTTGAGGCACTTGGCCTCATGGCTCCACGCCTTGCGCGCAACAATGCGGGCAGAATCGGCTTGATACCATAGGTGTCCTTTTAATAGATGGCCCTGGTAGATGATTAAACCACCAGGTAAACTAGGGCCATGTATTTTCTACCAGAACAACCAAAAAGGACACCTATAGCTTGATACCCTCAGGTTGACAGGCAGCCGCGATTTTGACACACAGATTTCAGCAAGCTGTAAGCTGAAATAAGGGGAGCCTTTCTGGAGCCCGAGTTCATGTCAGAGCAACTCAATTCTGAAAGGAAGAATACATACCTGTCGTGGAGGAATGGGGCTGCGCAAAAGGGCATTTCTTGTTCAGCTAAACCATTTCAGAGCAGGATGGACATAGATGACAAAGAGGCAAAGTTTGGGCCTTTCGGGCTATCATCATGGCCTACGCCAAAAGAAACACATTGGCTTTTCGCCTAAGAACATTAATAATAATGATGCTGATGATAATGATAATGATAATGATAATCACGTCGCTCACCCACCTTTTGAACATTTCACGCATGAAGGCCTTTTAGTGGATCAAGAAGAGATCACTGTGCCCTCTAGCTTCGAGGGTTCTGAGCCCAACGCAATGAGCAAGGGCGGGATGCACACGCCCTCGGAGAAGGACCTCCAGCTGGCCTTGATCGAGGAGCTCAAGCCGCCGGAGCCTCCGCAGGCTCTGGGGCCGCCACAGATCAACTGAGGACCAAGGTGATGCCCAGGTGGTCGCGCAGGCCATCCCAGAGCTGGTGAGTGGGGTGGTGGAGGAGAACACAAGGCTTTGGCAAGGCCAAGGAGCGGGGCTACCAGATGCAGGAGGGCCGCGATGAGAGGCCCAGATGCAGCTGGACCCAGTGCTTGGTGGGATCGGTGGAGGTTGGCCGCAATGGGCATGGTCTTGGGCGCAGAGCTCTACAGCCTTGCCGGCCTGGGGTGGGGGTGGACCGGGTCTTGGAATTGGGTCCACTGCCAAGAAGGTGCTCATGAACCTTCTAGGAGGAGTTTGTGGTTGGCCTCCGCAGGCTGTTGGAGATGGTGACCCGCATGAGCTGGTGACCAAGGATCCTGGCAATCTACAGGGGCATGGTTCAGGAGCCCCTGCTACCCGGGCTTTCCACCTCCAGTTTGGTGAGCGCATCAGCGCATCTCTCTAGGGGATGGATCTTCTTTTGGGCCGAGACAGATCTTTCCGCCTCCAGCCGCCTTTTTCTAGGGGGAGCCTGGATTGATCTCGAGATGGACTTCTTTTTGGGCTGAGATTCCACATGAGCGCCTTAGGGGAGCCCGGAGACGGACCACCTCCAGCCCGCCTCTCTCTAGGGGAGCCCGGATTGATCTCGAGACGGATCTTTCCACCTCCAGTTCGGCAAGCGCCTCTTTTTACTGTCGGTGGTGGACCTGGCAGTCATAGTTGCCAGGACAGGTTGGGTCCGGCTTGTGGCGAGGATTTATCCGCAGGCATCTGCAGTATCGTTGTGTGACCGACACAAGCAATGGAGGTAGCGGATTTCCGGGTGGAGCAGGAGGCTATCCTGGAGGAGGTGGTTTCCCGGGTCAGGGTGGATCCGGTGGAGGGTGAGAACGGTGGAGCTGCCGGAGTTGCTTTAGCCTTTGCACGGGCCCCCTTGAAGACCTACCAGCCAGGGAGCCTGGCCGAGAAGAGTTCCTTGCTTAAGCAGCTGGTGGACCAGCGCATCCCCTCGGGCATCGGCGAATGGCTGTCTTGCTTGAGGACTTGGCGAAGGTGGTTGGTGCGGGTGACGGAACTACGCATTCAGCCTCCGGATCCAGTTCTTCTTTTGGCCACCCTGGATAAGTTCGCGGTGGTTCTGGGAAAGAACTCTGCCCAGGCGTCGTTCAGGCTGCAGATGGCCCGGGCAGCACTACGGGTGGATGTGGCGCCTTCGCCACAGGGAATCTTGCAGTTTGCATGGAGGGTCGCCGACCAAGGAGGCTGTGAAGGCCAAGACCATGGAGGTCAAGGAGACGCCCAAGACCTACGACCGGGACAAGCCTCGGGAGCCCGACAGGGAGAAGGGCAAGGGCAAGGGGAAGGGAGCCGCAGCTTGCAGGTACTTCCTCTTGGAGATGGGATGCAAGAAGGGGCAGGCGTGCAGCTTTGCTCATGAATGGGGGGGAGGAAGGCAAAATGGGAAGGTGCTGCTGTGGAAGCACTCAGCACATGAAGCCGGACTGCCCGGTGAGGGAGGTCCCGAACCGCAAGGTGAAGAAGGAGAACTCTCCGGGGATGGAGATGGGCAAGTCCGGACAGGAGGAGGTGGCAGTGGAGGGGACCAAGGTCACTTGTCGCCCTTGCCTTCGGTGGCCACACCTACGGAGCAAGTGAATGGAGAGCTGATGAAGGAGGTGGTGGAACTCTTCAAGTCGTTGAGACCCCGGTGAAGATTAGCTCGTTGCGGGAGGGCAGTTTGGAGAGGTCCTTGCTTGATGGCGGGGCTACTCATGTCCTTCGGACGGCTCGCTCCGTGGAGGAGTTTCGGGACGCGGTGCCCATCCAAGTGGAGTTGGCGGCGGGTGAGGTGACCCTGAGGCAGGATCCCGCTACGGGCACTAAGGCTAAGGCCATCTTTTCCAGAAAAGGCGGGTTCGGGACAATACCCACCTTTTGAACATTTCACGCATGAAGCCCTTTTAGTGGATCAAAAAGAGATCACTGCGCCCTCTAGCTTCGAGATAATAATGGCGATAATAATCGTAATAATAATCTTAAAAATACATAATGATAGTAATAATAATAATGATGATAATGAAAATAATGAAAATGATAATAATAATCCTGAATATGATAATACTAATAAGTGATAATAAATAACACTAGTAGTAATAATACTAGTCATAAAAATGATAATGAAAATAATGAAAATGAAAATAACATTATGATGATTATAATAATGCGAATAATAATGATGATACTGATAATAATAATGATAATAATAATAATAATGATGATAATAATAATAATAATGATGATGATAATAATAATAAATAATAATACTAATAATAATAATAATAATAATAAAAATAATAATAATAATAATAATACTAATAATACTAAAAATAATAATAACAATAATAATAAAAATAATAATAAAAATAATAATAATAATAATAATAATAATAATAATAATAATAAAATAATAATACTAATACTAATACTAATAATAATGATAATAATAATAATAATACTAATAATACTAATAATAATAATAATAACGACATGCATATGTGCATTATATATATACAAAATACTATGAATATATATATATATATATATATTGTATTGATACATGTGTGTACATATATATATATATATATTGCAAAAGGGGTCAAAAAGAAGAAGAAAAAAAACCTCAGCCAGCCGTCCGGGGCTTCTCCTGGTCGCTTCATGACCGGGAATTCTCCTCTGCCGAGCCGCCAGCATGCCCGCGGCAAGCGAGAGATGCGCGGCGATGCGCCCCGAGCTGCTGCCGTGGTGCAGGTCCTCGAGGGCGCTCGACGGGTGGCGCGGGGTGGCGCGGGTGGCGGGTTGGGTCGAAACCCGAGACGGATGGGTAGGGGGCAGCCTGAAAACCCGGTTTTGGTGTGGGTCAACATTAAACCAGGAACTGGACCGCAAATTTAGTCCTTGTTTCCATCTATGTTTTTACCAGGGAACCCATTTTGGGCACTCGTTTTTGACCCGCGCAGTCGAAACCAACCGAGCTTTCTTTGGGTCGATAGTTTTGCTTTGGGGGGGGGGGGCTTGGACGGTTTTTGGCCCAGGGGTTCAGGGGTTTGGTCATTTTTGGCGTTTCCTTTTCGGGGGTGGGAGGGGTGGGGCAGTTTGGGGGAAGGCCCCGATTTTGGGTCAGTGGAAGCCCTCCTTTTGGGTCACGCCTACGGGTGGTCACCATATTTCGGTCTTTCAAAAAGGATGTCAACACTAGCGTCACACGCTAAGAAAGCCCATGCTGACGTGCCTCGCCATACGGCGCTGCCAGCGTGCGCGAGAACTCATCCAGAAGCGGCGGATAATCGATGGCCTCCGCACAGTCTACGGCTGACACAGCCCAAAAGGCAAACACTTATTGCAATTATTGTTGGTGTGAGTAGAAGCTTGTTGGTGTGCCTGTGAAACGAAAAGGAGGGGGTGCAGGGGTGCCCCCCAAATAACTGTATGATTATTTCCTGCATGACTTGCTTGGCTGAAGCACGCTGTTGGGGGTTGCTGCTTGACCTTAGACACGACTGGCTTGCCTCAATCAACTTTTCAAGATTAGTCTAAGTGTCTAACCCGGCGAGGTCCATCTGGGATGGTGGTAGCTAGCCCAAGATTGCCGAATCGCGGTTCAACGCTTCGGAACAGATCGGCCATGACGGAATGGTTCCTTTGGGCTTCCCCTGAACCAAATCCTTCGAATTCAGCGCGTTCATTGCCGTTTCACTTCGGTTTTGTGGGGGGCGAGGCTTCATCCACACCAGCCATGCCACGTAGAACTCCCATGCCAGCCACGTAGATTGCCCAGTGCGGCGCCTTCGCGGGCTGCGAGCGCACGAAGACGGTTTCCAGGACCGACGCGGACTCGGCACCTGAAGCGGCCGGTGACACGTCGATTGACCAGAAGCCTTTGCAGGCTGGCTAGCTCTGCCTTGGATGTAACATAGTCTTTTTGCTCAAATGTTGGCCCGTGGTGTTCGGGACGGTCGACCTCATTTGGAGTTGAGCAACGGGATTCCACGGGTCGTTCCATTTTGCGGCCCGGCAAGGGCATGAGGCAATCTAAAACCTTGCCCCTTGCACCAGCCATTCAAAGCCGAGTGGTTCCAAGGAATAGGTGCTACCCTCCCGCCAATTAACATGGAACCTGACAGGGGGTCCCTTTAAAAGGAAAACGGTCCAAACCAGGACCCGCCCCCGAACGTCAGGTTACAAGTTGGTGGGAGGGTAGGTGAAAACACGAAAGGAATGAGGCACGCCGACATGAAAAGTCAGCTCTGAGGCAAGCCGCCGACGCTGGCGTTGGAGCGGAAGGGGCTGGCCTGGTGAGTCACAAGGATCTCTCAACAGCCTCTTCCTTTGGGCCTTGGATCCAGGGCGCTTAAGAGATGGATGACCCCCAAATACCTTTCCACAAAATGCGAGAGGAAGTGTCGATTCACTGCTCCGACTGGAACTTGTGGGTCATCTCAAGCAGGTCCCCCCCGTGCTGCTTGCCTAAGCCTTTCAAGAAGGGGCACGGCAACCTGCCTAGGGCTCCCAGAATCATAAACCATCATAAACCCACCATTACCATCATGAACCGCAAGGGCTCACATATTGAAATATTATGCCAACAAGATCTGGGTGCGATTTGTTTTGAGTGTGAGAAACTCAACAAAGAAACCACCAATGTAAGGCTATACGAGCAGCTGACCATATTTCCCACCATAAACCGACATTGCTCGTTGCTCATATCACTAAATGGGTAGTTGCCAAAATAGGGGACCCCCCCCCAAACAAGTAAAAGAATGAAGGTCGGCCTTCATGTTGGCTTCTTTTCAAACCGCAGTGTAGGTAATATGTTATTATATATATATATATACATGCACATATTGTTTCTCCTATAGAGATGGGCAATTCTCAAACCCACCCAAAAACAGGGTTCGCCATTTTGAGAAACACCTATTTTTATATAGATTCCTACCCATAAATATATACAATACATATACATATAGAGAGAGAGAGAGATACACATACCACACCTACATATGTGTATATATATATATATTTACTCAGAGTCCACTTGCCCACACCCCGGCCTGCCCGCGCCGCGGAGACGTGCCCAGCGGAGGCCGGGGATGCATCTCTGGGGGCAAAATCGTGTGGCCTGCATCGGGGGCCCCGGTTTGCTTTGCCGGTGTCACCGAGGCATCCTTTCGGCTCATCGTTGCTAACATGGAAACCATGGAACGCACCTTGGTAAATGGAACCAAAGACCAAAACCGGTATCGCCCTAGCTCTCTAATTTGTTTTGCCACGACCATGTTTCCGGCTTCTCTGTGGCTGTCTTCTGGTTTTCTCTTGCTGAACCTTTGGTTTGCTTTTCTCCCCTCAGATTTTCAATTTGGTGTCCCTCTTGTCTTGATCCTCGGGGTTCCTTTCATATCCCATTGTTTACATATCCCCTTCGCGCGCACGACGAGCGCCCTCCAAGGGCGACGTTAAAACCCGCCCCAAAAGACGAAGCGAAGCGGTCACACCCGCCTGGCCGAAGCTCCTGCGCGCTCGGCGCCTCCTCTCCTCGCCCGGAAAGGCGCGCAAAGCAGAAGCATGGATGTGTACGAAAAAACCGGACATGGTATGTGTCCAGAATGGGTCAGAAAGCCTCAGGGTGTGTCCCTAAAACGGTTTGCTTTGTGTACGACTTCCTTCAGGATTCCCTTTGAACACCATCCAGGAGGGGCCACACATTGGCCTGATACTTTTGGGGTCCAAAACGTCCTACAGATTGGAGATACAAACACAGTGCGTCAAAAAAAGAAATGCTGCGGCTGTTGCTGCATATCAATACGCCACGCTTGAAGAAACACTCTCGCACGCGTTTTCAGAATGTGGCATGTCCCGTTGAAGACAGGTGAAAGCCAAGCCGACAGGCGAGTGACTTCGCGATCTTCGCGCCAGTGAATTTGCGGCGTGAATTTGTTGGAAAGCTACGTGCTTGCGGCCAGCGCATGAGGCATCCACCGTGGTTTCTCATACGAGATATCAAACATCAAAATGACCACAGCAAGGTCTGGTCAAGCAGCTGGCTGCAGAATGCGGTCCAAGCAGCACGTGTTGCACATCATGCTTCTTTAAATGCGTGCATCCATTTTCCACTGCGCGAAAAGTGACTCGGCACAAGCTCGCCAATCCCGTCCTTCAAGGGGGTCTGCCTTTCCTCAGCAGGGCGAAGAGCTGTTGCTGCTTGCTATGGCAAAAATGACCTGCACCAAAACTGCGCAATCTATGATGATACTCCATGGTCACAAGGCCGGGCTTGATTTGTTGATCAAATTCAAGCAAAAGTTCAGACATATACGACTCGAGGCGCAAGCACTTGACCGTTCTTGCATGTTCTCGCCATCCAGTCAGTGCAATGAATCTTCCTCACAGTCTTTGGGTAGCTTGAGACCGACACATTCCCTCCGTTCAACATGCGTAAAGTCTCCGCAGAGGTTTCCATGTCTGGTCTGGTTAACATAGATGACGACTGTCTGGATCAAACCATTTTGGTGGGCCTGAAACCTCAGGTTTTGGTCTTTATGGTCTTTGGCTCCATTCACCAAGGTGCCTGCCATTTTCCGGTGGCCGTTTCTTGAGCCACCGACATTTTGTGACCCAGCGCCATGTGCGAAGCGAGGAGCTCCTACGCTGCATCAGGGAGAACACGGTTCTCCCAGGCTCCGTGGAAGCCACCGGCGCTCGTTTCTTGCTCTTCGGCAAGAACTCCAGCCGCTGATTCTCACCTTGGCAGAAAAGAACCCCATCCGAACCCCCATCCCATCCCATCCCATTGGTATGAAGACAGGACTCATGGAACCACACCTTGACTTGTCCATTCAATGCGACACTTCCTCTTTCCCTGCGAGTCAGTGAGAACCCTTTCTGATGGCACTAGATTCTGGTAGATACGGCGTACAATTGGATCCGCGTGTCTCTGGACATACTGCTTGCCCACTTCTCAGGGATATCCTCCTCTTGGAAGGTGTTTCTGGCCTTGAGACAGCCACGATGGACGTGCCTCTCTCTGCTGAGGCCGCAGCATTTCAGATCGCCCAAAGGCGGGAAGTCCACTAGTACCAGGGGGTGCTGCGCGCACATCTCCCCCAATCTATGAATCACCTCAGATACGTCGGCAAACAAATTGACCGCTGGGAGATCCATCGATTTCAGCGGCCCCCCTTGGGCCCCCCCAAACCCTTGAGGCTCCGCGGCGTCACAGCACACCTGAGTCGTTTCGCCAAGGGACGGCGCTGATCACGTTTGGGATGATGGCCTTGTCAGTGAGATGCACCGCCGCGGCAATCTCTCCGTACCTGAGGTTCCCGCACGAGTCCCCCGTTTGCACAGCTCTGGGCGACGAGATCTGCTCGTTTTTGGTCGGGCTTGGCTCCTTGATTCTGTATTGCTCTACAAGAACCTTGGTATGTTTGGGCTGCCTGGGCTCTGTATCCCTGCGCTTCAGTTGTGAGTCGCAACATGAAGAATTCCGACTCAGAAATCCCCCATCAACACCTCAGCCCTCAGAATAGGCAATGGTTCATTGGGTCCACTGCTCGCAGATAGCTGACCCATTCGCCCTCCCCTCGAAATTAAAGCTCCCGAAAACAAAATCCGAGTCTCGGCTTACTCAGCTGCTATGTTCAAGGGGGGTAGGTAGCTAAGAGCCTAGGGTTCCTTAGGGTTCCTTAGGGTTCCTTAGAATTCCTTAGGGTTCCTTAGAAAACCCCCCTTGGACCCCCCAGAGATTCTCCAGACAAGTTGCGCAGCCTTGGTGCTGGGGCCGGGCTGGCCCTGGTCCCCAGGCTTCATGGAGATTCCATACCTCAGTCGAACCAACCTCCCCCCCCCCCCCCGCTGGAAAAGGCTCGAAGACAAACGTAAGCACAGGCAAGGCAACGTATCCACTCAAATCTAGAGATTGTTGTGGATAGGTCTTAACTTCCCCGCCAACAGAAAACATATGTAGATTGAGTTGATACGTTGACTTGCTGCGTGCGTCGCCTTGAACTGCTGCTAAATCCTGTTGTAGGGAACTCCATGTGATTCATCATACATGGTCTGCCAGACCAGGCATTTCCCAGGATCCAGTCCGTACTCGACAGGCGTTCATTAAATATCGTCTGCATATGGCTATGCCTGCAGGCTTGCCGGCGTGGAGAGAGCTGTGGGGCTTCATCGGGGTGAACATCCATCTCAAAGAATATGTGCAAGTGCAGTGTGGTCTGCTTGTCATAGGACAAAGTTTGCTGTCGTTCAGCGTTGGCATGCTACTTGTCAGAGTGAAAGGCAGCGCAAATAGCCCCACCTCATTCCGCCAGGCGCCCAGAGACCCAGAAACGTGGAACACACCCTTTTCTGTCACACAAAAGAGGGCCCATCCTGACCACTTTGTCGTTTGCAAGGGGTCATCGTCTTGGTATCACCCGCGCACGAGCAACCTAAAACCCTTCTTCCCCTGAAGGCTACGAGCTTGGGGCAGCTTTCAGGGATCTGGAAGCGTTCCGGGGCTGGGGGAAGAGCCACCTGATCGCCACCAAAAACCACCTGCCACCCGAGGCGTTCGCTGCAGCAGGAACAGCTCCGACACCGCCAGCTGGACCTCGTCCTTTCCCGCGTTGAAGAGCACGCCTTCCGCCGAGAGCGGTATGCCCCGTCATGTTGAGGGGGTCTGCCCCCCAAGCCACCACCCAGAGTGGGAAGTGCCATTACTATATATTAATATAGATATACATGTATGTTAAGTATACATACCACTTCCCCCTCTTGGGCAATGGGCGTGGTGCAGAATGGAATCTTTTAGGGCTTTGCATTCATAAATCACGAAGCCCTGCAAGCTGCCACTTGAGCATGTTGGTGGCTTGAGAGAGCGAGAGAGAGAGAGAGAGAGAGAGATGTTGGTGAGGCAAAAAAGGACAAAATCAATGGCGGTAGCCAAGAAGAGCAAACTCAAGCGGCATTCCGACGGATTGGGAATCAACCCTACTCGAGACCGCGCCAGCAAGCCAGCAAGCCAGCATAAGGCCGCGGCACATGTCCTCGGAGATGTCAAATTCTATTCCATATCCGCAAAGATTAAATAATAGCGAGAGACAGAGTCGTGTTGGTGAGGCACAAAAAGGACAAAACGATCGCGGAAAGCCAAGACAAGTGAAGCAAACACAAGCGGCATTCCAACGGATTGGGCATCAAACCCTAATCGAGACCGCGGCCAGCAAGCCGCAAGCCGCCCACAAGGCAGCAAGGCACTTGCTCTAGGAGGAATGTCGTTCCAAATCCTATCTCGCGTCCCAAAGGTTTAATTAACTTAAGACAGAGATGTTGGTGAGGCAAAAAAGGACAAAATCAATGGCGGTAGCCAAGAAGAGCAAACTCAAGCGGCATTCCGACGGATTGGGTATCAACCCTACTCGAGACCGCAAGGCACTTGTCTGGAGGATGTCGTCAAATCTATTCAAATCCCAAAGACTTAATTAATTAAGACAGAGATGTTGGTGAGGCAAGAAAGGACAAAATCGATGACGGTAGCCAAGAAGAGCAAACTCAAGCGGCATTCCGACGGATTGGGTATCAACCCTACTCGAGACCGCGCCAGCAAGCCAGAAAGCCAGCAAGCCAGCAAGGCACTTGTCTGGAGGATGTCGTCAAATCTATTCAATTCCCAAAGATGTAATTAATTAAGACAGAGATGTTGGTGAGGCAAAAAAGGACAAAATCAATGGCGGTAGCCAAGAAGAGCAAACTCAAGCGGCATTCAACGTGGTCTGGGTATCAACCCTACTCGAGACCGCGCCAGCAAGCCAGCAAGCCAGCAAGGCACTTGTCTGGAGGATGTCGTCAAATCTATTCAAATCCCAAAGATTTAATTAATTAAGACAGAGATGTTGGTGAGGCAAGAAAGGACAAAATCGATGGCGGTAGCCAAGAAGAGCAAACTCAAGCGGCATTCCGACGGATTGGGCATCAACCCTACTCGAGACCGCGCCAGCAAGCCAGCAAGCCAGCAAGGCAGCAAGGCACTTGTCTGGAGATCGTCAAATCTATTCAATTCCCAAAGATTTAATTAATTAAGACAGAGATGTTGGTGAGCAAAAGAGAGACAAATCGAGGCGGTAGCCACGAAGACAAACTCAAGCGGCATTCCGTCGGATTGGGTATCAACCCTACTCGAGACCGCACCAGCAAGCCAGCAAGCCCAGCAAGCCACAAAGGCACTTGTCTGAGGATTCGTCAAATCTATTCAATTCCAAGATTTTAATTAATTAAGACAGAGATTAGTTGGTGAGGCAAAAAAGGACAAAAGTCTATGGCGTAGCCAAGAAGAGCAAACTCAACGCATTTCCGACGGATTGGGTATCAACCCTAATCGAACCGGCAAGGCACTTGTCTGGAGGATGTCCCGTCAAACTATTCAAATCCCAAAGACTTAATTAATTAAGACAGAGATGTTGGTGAGGCCAAGAAAAGGACAAAAATCGTTGGGGGGGGGGGGGGGGGGGGCGGGGGGGGGGTAAGCCAACAAGAGCAAACACAAGCGGCAGCCAGCCGGTGTAGGGGTCCAACTACATGTCGCCGCGCCAGCAAGCCAGCAAGCCAGCAAGGCACCTTTCGGAGGATGGTCGTCAAATCTATTCAAAATCCCCAAAGATGTATTAAATTAAGACAGAGATTTGGTGAGCAAAAAAGGACAAAATCAATGGCGGTAGCCAAGAGGAGCAAACTCAACGGCATTCCGACGGATTTGTATCAACCCACACTCGAGACCGCGCCAGCAAGCCACAAGCCAGCAAGCCAGCAAGGCAGCAAGCCCACTGTCGGAGTATGTCGTCAAATCTAGTCAAAATCCCAAAGATCCCAATTCAGACCAGGGAAAAGACGCAAAGACGCAAAAGACGCAAACAAAACAAACAAACAAAAAAACCGCTCCTATCCGGTGCGGCTGAGCATCCAACCGTCAACCCCTGTCTCCCTGTGCTCCTTTAAGCTTTGGCGAGGGGCCCAGCGGCATCACGACATCGACTGCCCACTTTGAGGCCTGAGCGCGGACGGGCGGAAGAAAGGAGACGCAGTACGGATGAAGCAGTCGTCTACCAAAAAGATCCACCCCAAGTGCCTAAAGTCGACTCGTGTTGAGTGAGGCATTTGCAC